AAAGTTAATATTCCAACTGCTGTTGTGTAGAAATTCTCTGGATTAAAAAAAAACAATTAACTAGAACACTCGTTAAGCACTTACCAGTTCTAATCACTCACCCATATTCCTTTCTAGCCCTTATCCTTTTGTTTGCCTTGCAGGTCGATAATACCCAACACATTTGATAGATTTGACAGTGAGCATTATCTTATTCTGATTAGAAGAGATTAGTTTCAACATTTCGCCACTCAGAAAGACCTGTTTGTTTTATACGGGGTTTTGCAGAAACCCTTTATGAAGCTATTCTTTTATTCTTGTTGCTAAAAAAGATCTCATTTATGCATGTTGACTTTATCGAATGCATTTTCTGTATTTATTAAAGCGATCACAATCTTTTCTTCAATCTATCTGTTCATGAGAATTGTATTTATTGACTGATTTTTTCTAATGTCGAATCAACTTGATTACTGAAATAAAAAAAAACAGTACTGATCTAGTGTGCTAAAAGATTGTTTCAGAATATTTATACCAAGATTTCCTGTAATGCTTCTCATTTATACTCTTGTGAATTCCTCATTCCCTTATCAATATTGTTATGCTCTTCTCATAAAATTAGTGAAGTAGTCCCTCTTTTTTTACCCACTCATTCAACAAATGAATCCTTACTATTAGCTCTATTGACTGAAAATAGTTGGGCATGGCTGGAATTATTTCAATTTTAGAAGAATTTGCTAATAAAGCCAGTTATCTTCAATTTTGAATATTTAAAAAAATGGTTGAGTAACTTACTTTCTTTTCCATATATAAAAATACATGTGTAATATATATTTTTCTAAAAAATTTTCCCATGGAAATGTTCAAATTATTGGGCTAAAATATCTTTTAAAATGTCTTCATGATCAGTAATTACATCCCATTTTCATTGCAGCTGTATTATGTATACTTTCTCTTTTTGTCCTGTTTTATTATTTTCAAAGCGTTAATAGCACTATAATTGAAATGAAAAAAAAAACATTGAATTGTACACTGTAAATGCAGGCAACTAGTTGTCTATTACATTTCATTAAAGATTAAAATATCTTTTAAAATGTCTTCATGATCAGTAATTACATCCCATTTTCATTGCAGCTGTATTATGTATACTTTCTCTTTTTGTCCTGTTTTATTATTTTCAAAGCGTTAATAGCACTATAATTGAAATGAAAAAAAAAACATTGAATTGTACACTGTAAATGCAGGCAACTAGTTGTCTATTATATTTCATTAAAGACGGAAAAAAAGAATTAAGAATTGGTAGAATGGATTCTCTATTAGATCTAGTTAATTATACTATTTATTATTTCCTGTCATATTTTATGGGTTTATTTTGCTAATTCTTTTTATAACTTCTTGAGACATTTCTAACTTGTAGTTCTTGAAAGCTACAGCAGGTTCTATTATTATTTACAGCCTGAATTCCCTATGTTATAGGACTATGCATATCCACACACTGTAAATTACCTTTCATGCCTTTTGAGGCTATACATCCCCAGCCAACAGGCACAGCCATGTGATTTGCTTTAGCCAATAGAATGTGAGCAAATGTACATAAACATCACCTTTGAATACAACTGTACACTTCAGTTCTGTCTTGTTTATTCCCCCTGCTATGTGAATGAATGAACCATTGCTGCATAGGGGCTGCTCCTTCAGCATGAATCGCAAAATGGGAAGAAACTTAGAGCAGGAACACACATACAGAGTGCTACAACAGCCAACTCACAACCACTGTCAAGCAACGTGAGAAATTTTTACTTTAAGCTTTTGATATTTGGGGGGAGAATTTTTAAACAGCAAAAGTAATATTGGGGATAGACCTTAAATTCAAGCATTTTTCCTAACAGATTTGCATTTATGCCTATCTCTTTTAAGTACACCTTTTCAATACAGTTATTAGATTTTCTAATTCCCATTAAGACTATGACTTCTACTTTAATGAGTTATTTAAAATATATGTCTCAAAACATACTAGGTTTTAGTATTCTGCTTTTTAACTTTTATTAAACACTAATTCTACTAATGTGTTTTATGTAATATCAGTGCTTTAAAATTTGCTTTATAAACCACTGTAGGTAAAAGTACTATAGATATGCTCAAAAAGAATATGCAATCTGTAGTTGTTAGGTACCAAGCTGTATCTCAAATTATTCTAATTTTTTATTGTTTACTTAGGGGGTAAATGAAGTCACCAATTACAATTAGATTTGTTCTATCAATTTTTGTTTCATATATTTGAACATTTGATATTAAGTACATCAAATTTTAAGGTATACTTTTTGATGGAGTTCTTTACTCAATTACAAAAGGACAATTTTTAACACTAGGAACGCTTTTTTGTGTTTAAGTCACTTTGTAAGTCTCTCTGATATTAATATACACACAACAACTTTTTTTGGTTACTTTATTTGGTAAATAGCTCAGTCTTCTTGTATAATTTTTACTTCTAATTGGGAAAAAAAATTGCATAACAAAATTCACCATCTTAACCATCTTTAAGTGTACAGTTCTATAACGCTGAATATATTTATTGTGTAATAGATATCCAAAAATTTTTTATTCAGAAAAACAAACTCTATACCCATTAAACAGCAGCCATTTCCTCTTCCCACCATCAACCACCACTCTACTTTGTGTCTATGAACTTGACTACTTTAGTACCTCATATAGGTGGAATCATACCATATGTTACTTCCTTATTTCATTTAGCATGTCCTCAAAGACCACCGATGTTGTGGCATGTGACAGATTTTCTTCCTAAGGTTGAATAATATCTCATTGTATGTATACAACATGTTTTGTTTATCCATTCATCTGATGAACATCTGGGCTGTTTCCACTTTTCTGGCTATCATGAATACTGCTGCTATAAACACTGGTGTGTAAATATCTCTTTAGTTTTTTGAGAAACGCTCATTGTTTTCCATAGCAGCTATATCATTTTCTGTTGCTACCAACACTATGTTCAACAGTACCAATTTCTCCACATCCTCTCCAACAACTGTTATTTTCTGGATTTTGCTTTTTATTTTGAAAGTAGTCTTCCTAATGAGATACAATATATTTCATTGTAATTTCGATTTACATTTGGAACTCGAGCATCTGTGATTTGGGGAATCTGCGGGTCCTGGAACCAATCCCCTGCAGACAGTGAGGGACAACTAGAGTTAACTCATACGCAGATTTTCAATTGCACATAGTTATAAAACTGGTATCTTATTGTGATTTTGATTTTTCATTGAGTTATTTATCTTTTTTATTATTAAATAAGAGTGCTTTATATATTATAAATACCAGTCTCATTAAATATATAATTTGCAAATATTTCTCCTAACCTGTTGCCTTAAATATATTACTTTTAACGTATTTACAGCCAAATTCAGCTCCCATATTATCCTATACACCGTCCCCCCACAGCTTCCCCAATCTCAACATCTTGGATCAAGTTTTACTTTTCTTACAATCAGTGAGCCTACACTGACACATCATAATCACCCAAAGTCCACAGTATACATTAGGGTTCACTCTTGGTGTTGTACATTCTATAGGTTTGGACAAATGTCCAATGACATGTATCCATTATTATAGTATCATACAGAGTATTTTCACTGCTCTAAAAATTACCCAAAGTCTGTAGTTTACATAGGTTTCACTCTTGGTGTTGTACATCCCATGGGTTTGGATATGTGAATAATGATGTGTATCCACCATGATACTATCATACAAAATAGTTTCACTACAGAAAAGTCCTCTGTTCTATCTATTCATCTCCTCCCACTCCCCAACCCCTAGCAGTCACTGATCATTTTACTGCATCCATAGTTTTCCATTTCCAGAGTGTCGAATAGTTGATATCATAGTATGTAGCCTTTTCAGATTGGATTCTTTCACTTTGTAACATGCACTTAAGGTTCTTCCATGTCTTTTTAGCACTGCATAACATTCCATTTTCTGCATGAACCAGTTTATCCATTCACCTACTGAAGGATATCTTGGTTGCTTCCAATTTTGGCAGTTATGAATAAAACCACCATAAACATCCATATGCGGGTTTTTGTGTGGACATAAGTTTCAGTTCCTCTGAGTAAGTAGTAAGGAGGGCGATGACTGCATCGTATGGTAAGAGTGTCTAGTTTAGTAAGAAGCTGCCCAAGTATCTTCCAAGGTGGCTGTACCATTTTATATTCCCACCACCAGTGAATGAGAGTTCCTGTTGCTCCACATCCTCTCCAGCGTTTGCTGTTGTCAGTGTGCTGGACTTTGGCCATTCTCATCGGAATGTTGTGGTCATCTTGTTTAAATTTACATTTCCCTGATAACATGATGTGGAACATCTTTTTATTTGCTTATTTGCCATCTGTATATCTTCTTTATGATATTGTTTAGATTTCTGATCATTTTTTTTTAAATTGGGATGTTTGTTTTCTTATTGTTGAGTTTTAATAGTTCTTTATTTATTTTGGATTACAGTCCTTTATCAGATGTGTCTTTTGTAAATATTTCACCTCTTTCGGTGGCTTGTATTCTCATTTTCTTGACAGTATCGTTCGCGGAGCAAACTTTTTTTTTTTTTTTCCATTTTAATGAAGTCTAGCTTATCAGTTATTTCTTTCACAGATCATGTCTTTGGTGTTGAATCTCTCAACATTTTACCAAATGGTTTTAAGCAGTCACTGATGAATGCTCCCTAAATCCTCAATTTTATTAGAGTTTAAATATACAACAGGTCCTTGAATAATGTCATTTTATTCGACGTTGTTGAATACATTTGCCTACTGTATATCTTCTTTGACGAGGTGTCTGTTAAGGTTTTGGCCCATTTTTTAATCTAGTTGTTTTGATATTATTGAGTTTTTAGAGTTCTTATTATATTTATAATAATAGTCTTATCAGATATGTCTTTCTGCCCTTCTGTGACTTATCTTCTCATTTTGATAGTGGCATTTGCAGATAAGTTTTTATTTTAATGAACTCTAACATCGTTTTTTTTCAGTCATGGATCTTGATTTTGGTGTCTTATCTAAAAAGTCATCACCCGAACCAGGATCACCTAGGTTTTTTCCTATATTATCTTTTAGGAGTTTAATAGCTTTGTGTTTTGCATCTAGTTTTGTAATCCATTTTTGGATGATTTTTGTAAAAAAATGTAAGGTCTACATCTGGATTTGTATTTTTGCATGTAAATGTCCAGTTGTTCCATCACCATTTGTTGAAAAAACTATATTTTCTCCATTGTATTATCTTTGCTCCTTTGTCACAGATCAATTTACTATATATTCGAAGGTCTATTTCTAGGCCCTCTATTTTGTTCCATTGACCTATTTGTCTATTCTTCTACCAGTACACTCTGTCTTGATCACTGCAGCTTTACAGTAACTTTGAAATTGGATAGGATCAGTTCTCTGTTCTTCTCCTTCAATACTGTATTGGCTATTCTAGGTCTTTTGCCTCATCATATAAATTTTAGAATCGGTTGGTTGATATCCACAAAATAAATCCTGGAATCTTAATTGGAATTGCACTGAATCTGTAGATCAAGTTGGGAAGAACTGACAATGAGACTTTCTAAATGGAATAGCTGTCATTTAGTTCTTCCGATTTTTTCCATCAGTTATAGTATTCATCACATAGATCTTGAACATATTTTCTTAAATGTATACCTCAGTGCCTCACTTTTTGGGGTGGTAATATAAATGGTATTGTTTTTACTGTCCTTTCACTTTCTCTGTGGTGTCTTCTGCAGTACAAAATTTTAAAGTTTTGATTACATTCTATTTTTTTTTCTTTTGTTGCTAGTGCTGTTGTAACCACTGCCAAATGCATATTCATTAAGATTTTCTTTCATGTTATCCTGCAAAAGTTCTATAGATTTTGCTCTATATTTAAGTGTTTAACTCAATTTTTGTACATGGTAAGTCCGGGTGGCATCTAACTTATCCTTTTACATGTGGATATTTACTTGTCCCAAGACTACTGTTTCCCTATTGAATGATTTGGGCACTTTTCCCAAGAGTCAGCTGACCACAGATACATGGGTTTACTTCTAGACTTTCAATTATTTTCCACTGATCTGTATGTCTATCTTTATACCAGTGCTGGCATAAGTAAAGACTATGTATAAATCCTTCAACTATTTTTCTTTTTCAAGAGACTTTTAGCTATTCTGGGTCCCTTCCTTAATTTCCATAAACTACAGATCAGCTTTCCAATTTCTGCAAAGATGCCAGTTAGGATATTGATTTTGGTTTGATACTACTTTATGGTATGCACTTTCCCAATCTTTTCCTTTCAATGTTTTTGCTTATTTTTTTTGTTTATTTTGATGTCACATATAAGTAACACTGCTTGCACTTACTTACATACACTTTGACAATATGTATTCACTTTTGCTACTTAAATATTTGAGTTTAAACCTACCACCTCATTTTTGCGCTGGAGGCCCCCTTTCCCGTTTTCTCTTGTCTTATTCTCTCTTCCCTTTTTTCCTAATTAGGTTGTTCCCACTAGTTTTATTTTTAAATGGGTATCTTTCAAATTGCAACATGAAAACTTAAAAAAAACTAATCTTTCAAGACTAAAAAGTACCTTTTAATACTATTCACTTATAGCTCTCAAACTGTTAATGTTATATTAAATCTGTAAGCCACAGTTATTGTTTTATACAGTTAATATTTATTTAGATTTATTCAAGTATTTATCACTTGCTTTTGCTTGGCAGTTCTTTCTATATCTCTGGCATCTGGAATTACTTTTATACTAGCTTAGGAATTACGTTTGACGAAGCTTATATTTCACCCTCTTACTTGAAAGATATTTTTGCAAGGCATGCAATTATAAGTTGGTAGTTATTTTCCCTTGGTATAATAACACTATCATTCCATTGTTGCATTCAACTGTTACTGGTGGGAAGTCGGCATTTAGCTGTCCAGCCATTCCTCTGTCCTTGAAAGTAACTGGCCTTTTACCGTGGCTGCTCTACTCTGATACCTCTCCTCAGTACGGAAAAGGTCCTAGCTATTACCTCTTAAAATAGTGAGTGTGCCCCATTTTCCTTCTCCTTTTCTTCTGAAACTCCAATTAAATGTCTATCTTAGATCATGTTTATCACTCTATATATTTCTCATTTCTTTCTTGCTTTTTACCTTTTTCAGAAACAAAAAAGCTTTATATAATAAAATCTACTAGATGTTAAATTATACAAGCTACTCATTTTCCTTATAAAACAATTTGAGTAAATTCTTTGAGGTCTACTATAAAGGTGGAATGTCTTCACAAAAGAACTACATTTGCTTCTGCTAAGTTTCTGGAAAATTAACAGGCAACGATCACTTTCAATTTATGACTAGTGGTTACTTTAGTCACCCAGATAGTGTGAATTTTGGTTGCGTGATTATAACTTCTAAGCCAATTTTTTCCCCTCCTTATTCTACAAAGCACAACTGGGGAAATAATCTTTGTAGTCCTCTAGAGGAATAGATGAGAAAGCAAGTTAAGTTTTCTTTCATGGAGAGTATATTTCTTTTGAGTACCAGTTTAATGGAAAAAGGACTTCTTGTGGAATACCTAACTGTGGCTGGCCCCTATGTTTATGTCTTTTACCCCTATAATTTAGGTGGCTTTTGCAAAGGTGAACTCCTCAAACTCCCCAAGTTCCAAAATGGTCTCCAGGGCAAAACTGGTTTTAATACTCCACTTCTCTATGGTTTTATTCTGATAATAACTTACCTCGTAGATCTCCAAGGATTTTAAGTAGACATTTTCTCATCTATTAACAGGTCATTTTAATTATCTTCAGCAGTAAGGACATGCCAAAAACAGAGTGACTATACTCAATCTTGGTGCAGGTCAACATAGCTTCTGGATCCAGCAAAACTCGTTTTGCAAAGTCAGAAATGATCACCAAACTATCCTATCAATTTGGCATTCTTTTCATTTATATCTAAGTCTGTCAAGTTTCTCACACAATTGACTATTCTGTCCTCTTGAAACCAGTTCTTGGCTTCTACACACCACTTTCCTATACAACTCTTAAACGATCGTTCCTCAGGGCTCAGATCTAGATCTTCTCATTTCTGTATTTCCTGTCACCTTACATTACCGATATCCATCTCTTGGACGACTTTAATAGCTTCTCAACTGGATTTTTCCGTCACTCTTGTCCCATCTAATCCATCCACCACCAAACTAATCTGAGTGATCTTTTAAAAATAAAAATTAGATCATGCCCTGTTGCCTGTGTAAAAGACTTCAATGTGCTGTATTTGAACTTTAGATAAATGCCAAACGATTTAACATGGCCCACAAAACATTATATGATCAGACTCCTACCTACATATCCATAACTGTCCTCTTATATAATGTTGTATGAACAAGCTTTTTCCATTTCCTCAAACATACCAAATTCTCTACCATCAGTTCTTTGACACCTGCTTTTCCCTCTTCCTCAAATATGGTTTACCAGCTCTTCGCATGTTTCATTCTTACTCATATTTCCGATCTCACCGTAATTGTGACTTTCTCACAGGTAACCCAATCCAGTATCATAATTTGTAATTAAGTTCTTGCTGTGAGTTTATTTTAATGTCTGCTTTCTCAATTATTTGTTAAGAATCAGGCATGTAGAGACCCTACCATCTTCCCATTCCATGCCCAGGATCTAGCACAGTGTCTGGCACATAGTAGGAATTCAATAAACATTAGATGGTTGGCTTCTTTTCCTTTAAGCAGACCCACAGGAAAAGTAAAATTCTCATTAGATATTACATGTTAAGGACAGAATTAGAAATAAGAGGAATTAAGTTAGATAAGAATGTATGTAGGGATCAGTCTAAAAGAAGACATACTTATGAACAGACCTAAAATGCTGAGAGCCATATAGCCAAGATTATTTTCCCCTAATATTATCATGGGTAAAGCAGATGCTAGTTTTTAATTAACTCAATACATGGCCTTTAATTACTGTTGTGTTCACTTTAGAGCAAACAAATAATTGCCTACAAATAGCATATTTCTCAAGGAAGCCTGAAAGTCCATTATTTAGAACTCTGAAAACATTTTCCCACAGTACCAATATAATTCACAGTGGTTATTTTGTCCAAGTTAATTGGTTAGTTCATAATGTTTAATCCATAATTCATTTGTCCATTTTAACAAATATGAACTGAGCACTACTTTGTGCCAGGAACTGTTCTAGCACTGGAGATACAGTAGTGTGCAAATAAGACAAAAATTCCAATCCTCATAGATCTTATATGCGATTAAAACAGAAAACAAATGCAATATACAGAATGGCAGATGGTAAAGAATAAAGGAAGGTAGAGGGATAGGGAATGGAGGGAGGGCTATTTCAACGTATAACCTATTATTACTTGAATTTATTTCTACCTTTTTCTGTTCCAAAAAAGAAGTTAGATATTACTTACAGAACTTAAGAATCACAAAGTAATAATGCTCATACAAGGAAAGATTTTCAACGAAGAAACTTTATAAAAATACTTTGTTTCCCACAGCAGCAGGACAGAGAACTACTCAGGCTCTCACTCACTGACAAGCTACCATACCCTGAGGCAGAGTCTCCAAAAAACCAGTGGCTAGAGAAGAGGATGAAAGCAGTGATGGAAATTCCAGGAAAAAAAAAAAAAAAATGAAGAGCCAAAAAGGAAAGTATAATTCTTGTCGAGGATATGAATCTCAATGTGCACCTACTCCCATCTATTCAACTACTAAGTGGCCAGCTTTTCTTCCTACAAGTGTATATTTCTAACTAAGATCTCTTTCCTATTCGGCATATTATAGTTATACAACTTTTCCCTCCTTATTCTAGTCTTGAAACAAGTATTTAACTTTTGGGGGTTTTCTGATGAATTTAATGGCAGAAAAAGATCTCTTTTAATCCTTACCTATATCATAAAAATTCCTATCACAAGAATGCAGATGGCCAGCGAACTACCCTGGCACTCTCATATTTTACTTTAATAACTAGAATAAAGTACCAGGGTGTACAGCAGAATGCAAAAAGATAAAAAATTGGAACATGGCTTCAAACAGAATCCCCAGCGCAATAGCAATGATTGGACCAGGTGATACAATCAGCCAGTTAAATCTTTTATACTCGTCCACAACCAGTTCCACTACCACAGAACACGCATCATAGACTAAGGTTAGAAGGGTGGAAGCGGGCAACAAAAGTAACCCTGCTCTGAAGCCCTGCTCACATAGCTGGGGTGATTATAGCCAAATAAGGAATGAGCATATACACTAAGCCTGTCCATAACTTCAGTTTTTATTCCTTTTTATGAGAAAAGGCCTTATTATTTTCACCTGAAAAAAAGCAAGGGTTTTAGTCAGTGAGTGATAATATTGTTTTAGAAATTTAAGTATTTAATTTCACTGTCATTTTAATAAAGTAAATATCTCAGTTTGTGACTATCAGATATATTTCTGGGAAAAAATTAAAATCAATATAATTTATTTATATTCAAACTTTCATAAAATAAAGCCTCAAGTTTAGGGAAATATAAAAAACATATAATCAAAACATAGTAGCAGCAGAAAGATGCTGGCCAGAAACAATTACCTTTATGGCTGTGTGTACGTTTTCATCTTCCATCCATAGATCCTGTTCATAATAATATAAGCCATCATTAATAACTTTAGCAAGTTCAGATGTAATTTTTGCCCGAGACACGTGGCTGCCTGTTCGATCTCCTCCAGGATGTTTTCTCATGTAAGGTGGTGTCTGAGTCACTATCAAAATCTTGTTTAAATCCTGGTCATCAATTTCATAATCTGAATCATTATCAGACCAATCAGTAAATGTGTTTTTTTGTCCTATTTTTTCCATCTCTTCATCAAATAAAAAATCAAGTTCTTCTTGTTCTTGTTCATCTGGAAGATTTAGTTGATTTGATGCCTCTTCAGGTAGAGATGCTGATTCCTAATGAAAGAAACTGGTATTTTATTTATAGCAACTTTTCTATCACTTTTAAGATAAATGTCACATAATGATGTTACAAGTAATATCAAACTTGTATGCTCAATGACTAGTTTAACAGACAAATAGTAAAAGAAAATCAAGCCAGCATTATCCTGATCCAATAAATGTAATCAATAAACACTAAATTTAACATTAAAGAAAAAAATAGTTGAATAAAGGACGGATTATATTAAAGACTCCTTTAGAGTTTAAATGGTCCTTACACTATCAATTTTAAGATGAACAATTATTTTAAAATAAATGTTTAAATGTAGAGATTTTAAATATGAAGGAAAAAATATAACTCTTGAAATACATGAAATATGGTACAAATTTTTGTCAGTTTGAGTCCAGGACACCATCCTCCCTTGTTATCCAGGTTTGCCACAACATAAAAATTTATCAGGATCTTTAGAAAGTCTTGTTTAAGAAAACCACTTTAGGCTTTTGAAAATGACTCCAAGAGCAGGGGGAACTCTTGTAACATTTAAGTCTGCTATTTTAATTACCACTGCTAATTAAAAGTTATCTTTGATCAGGGTTTCTCAAACTTAGCACTACTGACTTCGCGGGCTTGATAATTCTTTGGGGTGTGTGTGTGGAGGTGGAGGGGTCCTATGCACTGTACAGATGCTTATCAAACTTAGCACTATTGACTTGCGGGCTTGATAATTTTTTGGTGTATGTGTGTGTGTGTGTAGGGGGGGGTGCGGGGGAGGTGTCCTGTGCACTGTTCATATGCTTAGCAGCTTTCCTGGCTTCTGCTCACAGGATGCAGTACTACTCTCCAAGTTGTAACAACCAAAAATGTCTTGAGACATTGCCCAATGCCCTCTGGTTTGGCAAAATATCACCATCCCACGTACCCTCCGTGGAGAATCACACTTAAATCCTGCATGCTTCCTTTCTTCATGTTCTGATTTTAGGGATAAAGAGCTCCATTCATAATAATCTTCAATATGATAAGCTTCTTCATCCTTTTCGCATGTAGGCCCATTTATTTTTAGTGACCTTTTTCTTATAGAGCTTACTTTCAATTTCTGAATCATTTGAGTAGCACTATTTACAAGTTTACTTTTGGTAAACTTTTTACATTAAGATAACTATACATTCACATACAGTTATAAGAAATGAGAGATCTCCTGTATTTTTTTTACTCAGTTGTCCCCCATATTAACATCTTGCAAAACTATAGTACAGTATCACAAATGAGACACTGATATAACCCAATGATCTTACTCATACTCAGTTTTCCCTAGTTTTATTTGTATTCATTTGTGTGTGTGGTTTAGATCAAAGAGTTTTTATCACATTGCAAAGTTTGTGTATCCAACCACCAAAAATACAGCAGTTCTACCACAAGGATCCCTATTTTTTCCTAACCACTCTCATCTCACTCCCTCATTTGCCTCCTTTCCTACTGTACATTATACCACCAAAACATATGTAACCCTAATCGGTACCTTTTACAAATAGTCATTTGTATGAGAACTTTACAAATAATTAACAAGGTTACAAATAATACAATAGGGTTATAAATCCAAAATTGAGATTGTCAGTTTTAAAAAAATCTGATTCAAAATTAAATTAGTCACAAGTAAAAAGGCCAAGTCAAAATATCTTTAAATAACATCCAGAAATAAATTATAAAAATTGATACCATATAACTCATTTTCAGCTGAGTAAAAGTGTTTACTGAAGGTCAATAGTTCCAATTTTTAAAAACTTCTCCAAATGTTATATATGTACCCGACAGAATTTACACTAACTTTATACTCCACCTACAACGTATCACACTTTTCTTTTGGTTTATATCAACTTACCTTCAATTTCACTGGGGATGGACGATGTCTCTTTTTTACTTCTATCCAAGGTTCTGAGTCGAAGTCAGGCAAACTGGTAGACAAACCTCTAGACATTGCTTGAAGAATACTTGTTTCAGTAATTTTCTTTGGGTTCAGTGGACTTCCAATTCTTGGAGAATTTGGGGCGGACTCTAAAATTTTAAGTTAGTTCTATAGTTAAAATAATGCTTTTATTACTGATAAAACTTTTTTCCCTTGGTCTTTTTTTCTTCACAAAAACATGATAAATCAACCTCATAACCTTTCCAATGATTTTCAAACCTGAAGAACATGTAGGATGTATTCAAATGAAACCAAAGAATAATAAATAAATGCAATGTCACCAACCCTTACACAGACCATTCAAACTTCTCAAGAATATCAATGTGAGTCACTAAGTATGACAATACATCTATGCAGGAGTCAATTCTCCACGAAATCTTAGGTTAATATCTATTACAAGGAAACTATGGACTCTCAAACGCAATTAAGCTGTAGTTATACTAAATGTCTGTTTTATTCAAGACAAAAACCAGTCCTTCATTTCTCTGCTAGGATTTACACTAAGGCAGCCATTACTCATATTTTTCACATTTCCTTTGTTTAACAAGGTTTACCTAAATGCAATGTGCCCACTTAGCTCTTAGTGAACAAAGGGCAGAATGTCATATCATTAAAGTGCACTGTCCTTTCTCAATAATATTTAAAACATTTCAAAACTTTGTTGGAATTATAAACGGCTATCTCCGTGCTATTTTTTAACCAAAGTAATTATAGATTCTGTAAGTAAAATTCAAAATGATTCCTTTATGAATTTCTTTTCCAAAAGTCAAAGAGTATTTAAACTTGCGTTGGACAAAGTGTTTTAAAAACAAATTTATACTGTGCAATTCTTAACATCATTTACTCCTCAAAGCCAATTCTTTAGACATTTTGCAAAGTTGAATACTACACAGAGAAAGCTAAAATAAATGAACACCAACAATCCTTTTATTTACTCAATGAAAAGCAAGGACACATTCCAGGAGTTTGGGTTTGAGAAGAATACTCCAAGATTTTACTTTTACTTATTATATGCTAGAATCAAAGGCATTATTTTCTCCACGGATCCATACTTAGATCCAGGATACAACCACCAGATTACTGTATTAAAGAGCATATTGTTTCATAATAGAAAAAGCTCTGAATTATGCTGTCCAATACAGTAGCCACCAGCTATATGGAGCTAATGGGTTCTCAAAATGTAGTTAGTCCTAAAATAGGCTCAGAATATATGTAAAATCTGTACTATATTTCAATGATATGGTTAAAAAAAGTAAAACATCCATAATTTTATACTGTTATAGTAATATTTACATGTTAAAGTGTTCAAAACATTATTAGGATTACAAGTATAGAAAACATTATGTTGAACCTTGTCACTCTACAACTTAATGGTGTATGTATCCATTACTTGATCCACAAAAGTAGTATGAGTAAATGCTAGGTTTGGAATGTCAGCGTTACTGAAGTTAGAGAGAACCCTATTCTTAACACTATGAATCATGTATGTTCACACAGTGAATAAAGCTTTCTCAGAACCATCACCCTAGAAACTGAGATTTAACTAAGTTACCATTATGCTTAGTGCATGTATAAATAAGAACAGCACCTGGCAGATGCCAGGGCAATCAGTAGCTACTATTTTTAACATAGAAATTTAATCTTTAAACATCTACTTAAGTTTATCATATAATCATCTCTGAATGCTACTGAAGCTCAAATGTTTCTACCATGAAGTCAAGTGTTTCACTATATTCACAACGCACGTGCTTATAAATTAAATTACAGTAAAATACCAAATTTGGGTATGACAAGAGAATTTAAAAGTCAAATTCTTAAAAGATGTTCACTTCATAATTAAGCTATGTGCGTGTGTGTTGTGTGATTTTCTGTGCTTTGTTATACAATGAAATGACTTTAAACTATATATACGTAAGTAAATTTTAAGGGTAATAGTAAATCCCTACTCTTCCAAGACCAAATGAGTTTGAATATGACTTGGATTACTCGACATTAAACTTAGACAAAAAATTAGACACATATGTGGGCACTTATGGCTTCTCGTCTGTAAGAACCCGTAGAAAATATTTTTGCTGTTTCATTAATTGAAAATTGTCAACATGACTCCCCAAAGATGAACCATCATATATATGCATGACATCCTCCTGGTACGACTTTTTATCCACCCTAAATCACAGCTTTAGGTTATTATTATAGATTGCTTTAAAAGGATTATATATTTCATGTGTGGCACATCCAAGGATACTTTGCAGATTGATTTTTCAAAGTAAATCCCACAGCTTATTTAATAATCATTAGGAATCCTCCCGTACATTTTTTAAAGCCAAAAATAAACAAACACAAGATCGTCAGAAATCTGACCTCTCAATTTTTGTGAATGAAATCCTTTTACTATTGCTAGTGCAATACTATGTACATAGAACTACAAAACCTAAATCTCAAAACACCTTATCATTCCTATAATCAACCTTCTCTGGTGTATTACAGTTCTCCGTTCAACACAAAGGTCAATTCATGCTAGACAATTCGAGCTCCAGAAGGAAAAATAGAAATTTTAATTTCTTTGATGAAAAGAACCAAAATGTTTAAATATTTTATCACACAAATCCCTCAGAAAGTATACACAAAGTTATTTTTGAAATTTAAAGCCTTTTCATCTGAGTAAAAAGGATATAGATTAAAAAGTGTCACCACCTTTCTCTACACATAGGCACAGGAAAAAATCTGCATTTCCTATTCCTCATTTCGATTTGAAATTTTTGGTGACACATTACTCTCCACTGAATTTAGAAAACTAAGGCTTTCTTATTAGAGGGGAATTATTAAGATCAGAAATTTGTGAATTCATAGGAAAAGGTGGAGTTTACATAAGTATTCCTATGATGTGATGTGTATCAGCATAACTCTAAGAAAATTCCACCGTTCAATATGTTTTTCATTATTCATCTAGTTTCTGATGTATAATTTAAAGAACCTAAAATTTTTAGCACTTAGATATATGTTGACTTATTTCAGGTAATATGTATGTGCATGTAAATGACTGTACATAAAAAAAAACACAAAAATTTACAAGACATTATTTTTTTTCCTGTAATTTTATTAATGCATAAATGGCTAATGGACAGGCATCACCAACTTGACTGACCTATCTTAGCTATTTTGTGGAAGAAATATTTTCTATTTTATCTAACTCACCTAATACCTGTTGGAGGTTAAAAATGTCATCTTGGACCCCAAGTTTATACAATAAATTAATCTAACTTATACAATCAGACATCAGATCTTTTAAAAAAAAAAAACTAAAAATATCACTTTTCTTCAAATTTTAAGACACCTGTCCAAGTTGCTTTCTAGGTTTAGAGGCACAGAGAGCTGACAAAGAAACACCAAATAAAAATATCTGAGACTGTCCATTAGTGCTTTATTGGCAGGTGTCTCATACTAGTGTATCAAAAATACATTTTAAAGAGTAAAGAAAAAAATACTCTTGTTCATTTCTTAAATTTTTTATCCCGTAGTGTCCACATTAATAAATCTTATACCCCATGTGAATTATTATGACAACATGTTAAGTTATACAACGTATACTACACTGAAAGGCAAATCAAATAGCAAAGGACCTAATGATCTGGGAAATGCCAGTCGAGCCTCTCTATTTCTGCTTTATTGGTATGGACACAAATACATAAGTCTGGAAGGAAAAGACAGAATCTTGTAATATTTCCAGAATGATAATTAACTTTCCCACCGTGAAAAAAAGAAGCACATGCAGCCCAGGCTAATTACACACAAACGGGCAGCTCATATAAAAACAACAGCAGTCCTCTGGTCTCTCATCGTCATCACAAAGGTGTTTATCTCCACTGCAGTGTTGGCCCAACCTCCTCCACGAGGAGCTGGGAGTAGACATTCTTGCACAGAAGTCAGTCTGGTTGCTTTCATTTCTGCAGCATGATTTGTTCCAATATTTATAATATTTCAGTGAGTCACCTATTCCTCTGCATATTCCGATCAAATGACATCCAAGAGCATCAGTAGATCATCACCTTGACTGAAAAAAGTTTAAGCACACATATTTTTTCCCAAGAGGGAATGTCTTAAAAATGATCCAGGAAAAAAATCTTAACATTAAAGCACTTTTTGGAAATTTTAAATACCACCAATTCTTAAATCTGTAATTATAACTCCATAAGAGAATCCCAATTAAGCATTAGGTCACCTCATCTTTTCAAGACAAGGTTGAAGCACATTAAAAGTCTACCCCACTCTTAAGTATAAAATGCTTAGACTACTGCAATCCTACTAGACTGTTCCAAGGCTACAGGGGGAAAACTGGCACAATATATCTATAAGATATCATTTAGTAAAATTAAGAGAAAATAAAGTAGAAACTCCACACATAACGAAGTACACAAATAATTTAAGAACAAATAGAGCAGAGCTTCATTCATAATTCTTAAATCCCTATTTCATTTATAGCACTGTGAGGGAGGCAATATGAATAGAATTTTGAACATCAAAAGTTAGCTTTAAATTTCCTATTAAATCTAAATAAAATGTAAAAACATAGGTAAATTGTACCAAATAGCCCATTGTTATGTTGTTTGCTCTAGAAGAAAAGCTGTTACCTGTATGTGAATAAAAAGCTTGGCCTGGTACGAACTCTGGGCAATCAATCAGTTGAGAGAAGTCTGTTTGTGGCACCCTACGCGGAGGGCCTGGAATTGGCCATTTTTCTGGTTCTATCTTTTTTCTCATTTTCTCGTCCACAATTTCCACTTCTGTGCTATCTTTCAGTGCCTAGCAATAGGAATTTTGATCTATTAAAGAATTTTCGCTCAAAAAAAAATTAATTGTACATCCTATACTCCCAACAACACTGAAGCTCAAAAAAAAAAAAATAAAGTACAACAGTCCCTCCCACCCGCCATCTGCGATTTCACTTTCCACAGTTTCAGTTACCAGTGGTCAACTGTGGTCTGAAAATATTAAATAAAAAATTCCAGAAATAAACAATTCATAAATTTTTAATCGTGCATGCTGTTCTGAGTAGTGTGATGAAATCTCACATTGTCAGCTCTGTCTCACCCAGGACCGAATCATCCCTTTGTCCAACATATGCACATTGACCATCAGTCACATGGTAGCCATCTGCGTTACCACATCCACTATCACGGTATTAGTGTTTTGCTGCAAGTAACACTTATTTTACTTAATGAACCTGAAGCACAACATTAGTTATTCTGGTAATTAAGATATGCCAAAGAAAATCCATAAAGTGCTTTTTTAAGTGAAAAGGTATATTTGTAGGTATATATAAAAATACAGTACATACAATATATATGATTCAGCACTATCCATAGTTTTGGGCATCCACTGGGGGTCGTGGACTATATCCCCCCAAAATGGGACAACGGTAATTTGATAAGGAGCACAGACGTAGTATGAGTTAATACCAGGACTCAAATCATTTACTATCTGTCCACCGGTAAAACTCTTAGCCACTAGCCTACGGTGATTATCAAAAATAAACATGATGTAATTAAGGGATAAAATAAAACTAAAACAAAGTTTCTTCAAAATAAAAACTAAAGTCTTATTGATCTGAATTTTAACTAAGATTCAAGGGTACTTACCTTTAGAAATTAAAAATACAAACATAAAAATTAACATACATGTTAACTTTAAATATTAAAGCTTGTTATACTTTAGTTGGAGAATGCACATGTATTAAGTTTTACATATACTTTAAGAGTTTTATAGTTGTATGACCTTAATATTACTATGATATTTCTCAAGTTATATTTTCCATAATCAAACATAACTTTGAAATCAGTATTAAAAATTTAAAAACAAACTCTTTGATGGGAATCAGGATACTCACTGAAAGAGAAGAGTCTGAAATACAGAAGAAATAAAGAAGAACCCTACAGTAAGGGGTTTGAATTGGTGATATCTATTTTCTCACATATGCTTTCCTAGTTTTGTACAGTGAACGTTCTAGAAGCAATGACATCCAAGTAGCAAACCAGTATGCCTAGCATCTAAATATTGCAATATGGATCAATTTGAAAAATTATAAATTAAAGAGCCAGAAGACAATTCCATTTACACAAATATTAAGACCAGGAAAAATCCATCTATGCTAATACAATCAGAAAAGTGCTTTGGTTTAGGGTGGGGTGGGGGTAAGGTGGGGAAGATGGACTGGAAAGGACCACTAAGGAACTCTTTAGAGTCAAAGACTGTATCTTGTTTGGAGTGGGCTTATACAATTTTCAAAACGTAAACTGAAAACCTATTTACACCTGAATTTTTAAAACCTTGATATTTTCCTAACTTAAAATTTTTCAAAATAATGTTTTGGAAAAAGGCTGTCTTTTGGCTAGAAAGTGGAACAAGTCGAACTCTCAACAGTGGTAGATTTAATTGGATCAATACTTCGAAAAAAAGCTCAGCAGTGACTACAAAAGCTAAGCATATACAAATCCTGTCATCGATCAATTTCACAGGAAAATAAGTATATGTGTCCATCCAAAAAAATATGTACAATAATGTTCAAACTGTAAAGAATCCAAATGTCTGACTAGAGAATCATGGGAAAAGTTTATTTACACAATGGAATACTACCCCAAAATGGAAAAGGAACAACTGCTATATACCAACAATGGATAAAAAGGAAGAATGATGATCTAATCCCAGATATAAAAGAATTCGTATAATTCTTACCATATGACGTTTAAAAACAGGTGAGATCTTGAAAAGCAATGAACTTTGAGGAAAGCATCTGTACTGACTAGGAGGGGTCATAGGGAGCTTTGTGGGATTTGGAAATGTTCTATATCTTAATCTAGGTGGCAGCTACACAGGTATAAAATAGGGAAGGTAACTTATAACTTTATAATTTCTAGTATGCAGTGTATAAATTATGTCTCAGTGAAAAAGGAAAAATTTAAAGAAAAAAAATGGGGGGAAAAAAGTCCAAGTTCTTTATATACAGCTATTGAATGCTCTTCCAATACATGTTTATACATATATATTAAAAAAAAAAAAGGTATACATTGTATGTAGTATAACATGAACTATCTCAGGGGGAATATACAAAAACAGAAGTAATATTGATTACCACCAAGGAAGGTTTAACTAGTTTACTACTGGTGAAAGAAGGAAAGAAAATCTTTCACTATATATCCTTTGAATCTTGAATCACAGGGAATTTCTTTATTGGCAAAAAAAAAAAAAAAAAAAATTAATTCAAGAAGAAAATAAGGAGAACAGAAAGTGAACCCGTCATGATTCAGGAATTAACAGGATGATACAAAAATATTACATGAAAACTTAATGAAAGCACCAAGAAAAGAGTTAGACATATTTTTATTAAAACCAAACCTTGTTTATCCTGAACTTGTAAACAAGGAGTTACAGTATACACTCAATATTTCTGGTATCTAAAGTTTTTATAGACTAGCTATTAATTTTGGTCCTTTTCTTAATGATACCTATTATTATGAATAATTACCAATACTGGAATACATAGATGTTTATCCCCAGTTCCTAGTTTTATGCCTAGAACTAAAAGAAAGTCTTGCATGTGCAAAGACCTAGACATAAGGAGAGAGCACTACATATTCTAAGAAATCACAAGGTCAGCCAATTGGGAAAAAGGTTTAAAATGAGAGTAGCAGGCACAGTTCTAAAGACTTCACATATATTATGTTCATTACTGCTCTAAGTCCTCATAATCTATGGTTGCTTAAGCATTATGTGCTGTATTAAAACAATGAGAAAACTGAAAAGGTTAAGTAATTTGAATAGTTATACAAGTGATTAGCTACAGAGCTGGGATCAATTGGATCTAAAAAGTAAGACACAAAATAGCTCTCAGAAGTAGAGCAAGAGTCAAGAATGCAGCAAGCTGGATCTACAATATGATCCAGCATTTTCATTTCTGGGTATATACCTAAAGGAAATGAAACTAGGATTTTGAAGAGATGTATGTACTCTCATGTTTACAGTAGCCAAGATATAATACAACCTAAATGCTCATCAACAAATGAATGATCTTTACAACTGTGGTATATATACATACTGGAATATTATTCAGCCATGAGAAAGGAGGATATCTTTCCTGCCATTTAGGGACAAAATGGACGGACCTTGAGCACATTATGCTAAGTGAGATAAGTCAGATACAGAAAGAGATAAGTACTGTATGATAATCACCTATATGTGGATTCCAAAAAAGTCAAACTCCTCAAAAATAGAGTGGAATGGTGATTGCCAGACGTGGGGTAGGGGAGGATACAAACTTGTAATGAGTACTAAATAAGCCTGAGAGATCTAAGACACAGTGTAACGACTATGGGCAACAATATCGTACTACGTAATGAGATAAATATCGCTACAATAGCAATAATACAACAAATTTGTTAAAGTAAAAAAAACAAAACAAAAAAAACAAACCCACACACCCAGTAAGCTGAATGGGAAAGGAGGAAACAAATTCAATAAGTTTGGCTATGCAGGCAAATTCAACCCGGGCAGATATAGGTGTCAGTTGAAGTCTATTTTGCTTCTTCTGACAGTTTTCTCCCGCAAGAAAGTAAAGAGTTAAGCATATACAAATGCACACAGGAAAAAGCTGATAAAAATAAAATGAAGATAAAGAGTGATCAATAAAAGGACATCCTTAAAGATTAATAATAACCACATTCTGTTTCAGAGCTTCCGGCGTGGACCAGGTACTGTCATTACACATTTCATCCTTATGACAATACTACGAAGTATGTTAGAATTTCCACTTTAGAGAAATCTCAGGACATTGCCCAAGGTCACAGAGCTACAAAGATGTGTGTGCAGGTTTCAAAGTCTCTAAATCAATGTGTTTATATTGCAAAGCCTTAATGAAGCCCTACCTTCTTAACAGGAAAAGGACCTCTTTTCCATTGTAACAAATGGCATGTGCATAATGAATGTCTAATGTATAATGAATGAATAACAGGCGTATGCTGTTCTAAATCACTACGGTTATGTGTTTCTGCATTTTACAGTAGTATTATTTCCTACTATATCATCGGCTACTATCAAAATTCTAACCATAATAGTAACACAAACATTCTTTTAAATATTCCTTTCCTACTGCTTTAAGTTTTAGAAGCTGATAATGACCTGAAAACTGTGCTTGAGGATTTAATGGGAATAAGAATGGCCTGAAAAAGCATACAATAATGAAATTACAACCAGATTCCTACAGAAAAACGGAGTGGGGGAAATTGGTATCAATTTCATTGAAAATGAAAGCTGAGCTGGATCTCTGCTATAGCACAATGATAGCAGTTAATAAACTCATTCTACTATGAGCATAATCATAACATTTTGATCCAAAAGTAAACACAGCATGAAAAAAAGCTAAATTTTCTTCAAATTACAGTATACAGAAACTTTATTTAAACACTATCTATAAACATACACAATAATGGTATTGCTTGGAGTGATTTTTTCATAAAACAAAAAAATCACTAGTTACTTACATATCAACAAATAACAAATCACTAATTCATAGTGTTTTGAAAACCTGGACTTTCCTATGGCCAGTTTTTATTTATTTTTTCTTTTTATTTATTTATTATTATTATTTATGCCTACAGCACCTGGTCATCCCAGGTGGTCTCCCATCCAAGTACTAACCAGGCCTGACTCTGCTTAGCTTCTGAGATCAGACATTGGGCTTGTTTTGTTCAGGGTGGCATGGCTGTAGTAGACCATGGACCGTGGCTCTACTGGGGCGTGAACTCAGGACTTTCTGTGTGTCAAGCAGACGTGCCAACTGCTACACTATGGAATCAAGTCCTTATGGCCAGTTTTTAAAGCATAGAGCACATGTGTTCAAAAAATGTGCTTAAGAAGTCTGTTAAGAAAATGAGAAGATGAGCCAGAGATTTGGGAAAAAAATATTTGTAAAATACACATGAAGGATGTGTAACCAGAATAAAGAACTCTTACGATTCCATTATTTAAAAAAAAAAAAAATTCTCCAATAAAAATAAACTATTTAGACAGATATTTCAATAAATAAGTTACACCAATGGCAAATAAACAACATAAAGAGGCTAAACATTATTAGTCATTAGAGAAATGCAAATTAAAACCACAATGAGAAACCACTGCCTACCTATAATTCAGAAAAACTGATAATACCTAGTGCTGATGAGGCCATGGAACAAATGGAACCCTCTTACAAACTGATGGAGTGTAAATTGGTCAAACCCACTGTGGACAATAAGTTGGCAATTTCTTATAAAGATTCACTTAACATGCATTTATGCTGACACAATCCTCACTATTTACCCAACAGAAATGAAAACATATGTCCACACAAAGACCTTTATGCTTTGTTCATAATCTCTAGAACTGGAAGCAACCTAAACGTCTATCAACAATTGAATGAGCAAACTGTGGTACATCCGTACTGTGGAATAGTGGTCAACAATAAGAACAAACTGATACATGCAACAACATGACTGAATCCCAAAAGCACTATGTGCAGTGAAAGTAATGAGAAACAAAAGGCTACAATTTATATGATTTATATGATATGCTAGAAAATGCAAAACTAGGACAAAAATCAGGTCAGTGGTTTCCAGGTACTGTTTATAAGGAAATGGACTGGCTGAACTGGCTACACAGGGACACGAGGATATTGTCTGTTAAAACTCAGAGAACTATACAGCAAACAGCAAATTTGATTGTATGTAGGGACAATCAAAGGAACAAAAACCCCAAATGCTGAAAGCATTTATTTCTAGAACAGGACAGACAAGAGATTTAATAAAAGCATTAAGAACATAACTAGAAAGACTTCTAAAATTCTCAAAAATTTAACAAATGGTAATATATGCATTTATAATGCAACTTGAAGAAGACTAAAGGACCAAGAACAGCCAAGAAGGTTCAAGTTTGAAGGATCAGGTTAAAAATAGGTGGAAACATCATTAGTAATTCTTTGAGGGGCTTCCAGGGTTAGATATTTATTTGGGTTTTATAAAATAGAAAAAAGTCATGTGATGCAGTATAAGCCTCAGGCAACTACTGATTGTTTTCCTTTTTTCCCCCTTAAATTTCTAAATATTTTATTTTTTAGAGCAGTTTTACATTCAAAGCATAAACAGAAAGTACAGACTGCTTTGCAACACTTTTATAAACGAATAATTACCTCTAAAATGAGATTAAGGTTTGTAGTAAGAGCCTGCACACGGTGGAAACCAGCAATCAGAGAAATAGGCAAGAAACCTTGTTCATCCATCTTTCTCCTAAGAAAAAAGTCCCGTTCCAAATTTTCTGTACTGAAGTAATATTCACTGAAAAAAGAAATAAATAAACATAAATTTCATCCATTTATTCAATGGGAAATAAAAATATCTATTGCTTATAATACCAAATGCTAAAAACTATTTTAATCTATTAATGGCATTATATAGATTTAATACAACAGAGACGGAAAATATAACAGCAAAATCCTGAGTTAATTTCTCTTACACGTGAGCAGAAAGAAATTTAGAATACTGATTATCTCCCAAAAAAACTAACACTAACTTCTATTTTTGATCACCTTTACCTAAGTATAAAGAATTTATCAGCATTTTATAAGTTCAACAGTAACTGATTTTTTAAAATGAGTCCATTAAGTGAAAATTTATTACAAAACTACTTTTACTTGTTTCATTTAAGCAGTAAATAAAAGTACGCACATGTCAAGAGACTGCTTCCGACATTTTCCCATTACTGAAAAGAATAGCATATTCGAAGTATTCTTTGTCTAGTTTACAGAGTAGATTATAGTTTGTTCTGTTTTCTAAATTTACAGAGTATTGACATTGTTTAATACTTCTGAACTCTAGTAATCAGCACAATGCTTAGTAAAAACTCAGTGAATATGTGGGCACAGGTGTACATACACAATTACATATTTGAACAATTCAAGATCTCCCTGTTTCTTTGACAGAACCTGGCACTAGTAACAGCCAGCCTCAGTTCACAGATTAGCCTCTCTCAGGTGCCTCCAAACCATGCACAAGCAGCAAACAACTGCAGATCACTTTGTACCCTCATACCATGTGGCCCTAGAGTCAAGCACAGGCAGCGGCTGACCTTGGCCTGTACCATAGCCCCTTCCAAGGAGCTGCAGAACCAACACACACAAAGCTTGGCTTCAGACCACACCAGAGCACCACGCAGCCACCTCCACAAAAACGCCAACTTGGCAGGCACCAGAGCCCCACTAAAGCAAATCCTGATCTGCAGAGTCAGCCTCTGCACAACGGCTCCTCTGCTGTAGTCATGGCCAGTTCTCGCATCCAGTTGTCCTCAGGGTCAATCCCTCCCACTGATGTGCCAACAGAAATCATGGCTTGACTACAACAGGAGGGCACACACAACCCACACAAGAAATACACATGGAGCACCCAGTATAGATGACCAGGGAGTGTACCACTGGGCCCCACAGGACACCTACTACATAAGGCCACTCTACTAAGATTGGGAGATGTAGCAGTTTATTTCTAACGAATAGAAACAAACACAGGGAGGTAGCCCAAATGAGAAGACAAAGACACATGTCCCAAATGAAATAACAGAACAAAACTCCAGAAAAAGCACTAAGCAAAATGGAGACCAGCAATCTACCAGATTCAGAGTTCAAAATACTGGTTATAAGGAAGTTCTATGGAGGCGGTTCCATAGAGTAGTGGTTAGCGCGTCTGCTTTACACACAGAAGGTCCTCAGTTCGAGCTCCAGCAGAGCCACCGCCCATACCCCGGGTGTGCCAGGCCCCGGGTGTGTGCCGCTAGTGTGTGGGAAGAGATGCCCCGCCTTCAGAGATCCAGTTCTTAAGGGGAGACGGCAACATCTGTAGGTCAGTGGTGGAAGGGGGTGGGGGGCTTAAAATAAATAAATAAATAAAAACAAAAAAGGAAGTTCTGTGAATTTAGAAGAACAGCAGATGAACTAAGAATTTTAACAAAGAGATAGAACATATAAAAATGGAGCTAGATATCACAATAAAAAATAATTTTAAAAAATGGAGATAAAAAACATAAAAGAACCAGTCAGAAATGAAGAATGCAATAACTGAAATGAAAAATACATGAGAGGGAATCAATAGATTAGATAAAGCAGAGGATCAAATCAGCGATTTGTAAGACAAGGAGCTAGCGGAAAACAGCCAATTAGAACATCAAAAAGAATTTAAAAATCCCCCCCAAAATGATAGTTCAAGGGGCCTCTGGGACAGCATCAAGTGTACCAATATTCACATGACAGGGATATGAGAAAGAAAAGAGAGCAAAGAATTAAAAACCTATTCGAAGAACTAATGGCGGAAAACTTCCCTAACCTGGCGAAGGAAAATGACATTCAGGTCCAGGAAGTGCAGAGTCCCAAACAAGATGAACCCAAACAGGCCCACGCCAAAACACATCATATTTAAAATGCCAAAGGTTAAAAAGACAAAGAGAAAATTTTAGAAGCCTTAAGAGAAAAGCAGTTAGTTACCTACCAGGGAACTCCCACAAGACTGTCAGCTGATATCTCTGTAACAGAGATATCACATGCATCTATGTTCACTGCAGCATTATTTACAACAGCCAAGATATGAAAGCAAACTAAGTGTCCATCAATAAATAAATGGATAAAGAAGTGGTATATATAAACACATACATATACATGTACATACATACATATAATAGAATATTATTCAGCCATAAAAAACAATGAAATTTTGCCATCTGCAACAACATACAGATGGACCAAGAGAGTATTATGCAAAGTGAAAAAGGTCAGAGAAAAAACAAATATCAAATGATTTCGCTTACATGTGGAATCTAAAAAACAAGTACATACTCAATGATATTTCAATATAAAGCCAAGTTTCACTTGCTCGAATTCATATACAGTAGTTTTATATTGTTACATTTAATCATGCATATTACGCTATGATGCTATAACTAACATCCTTTAGCAGAGAAATACCTAAGAGAAAAACAGTAGAGAAAGTAGTAGTGATATAACAAACCACATATAAACTTTTTAAAGAAACATACTTTACTAACATTTCCTATAAAAATATTAAAAATACTATTAAAATCCTGCAATTTTACTAAAATTGAGTTAGAATATATTCACTATCAATGATCTTAAAGTCTGATATTGCAACAGATTTTTATTATCTCATCTGCTTAAATCTGATCCACTTACATTTGGCGTTTAATATACTCTTTAAGCAATGCTTCTTCCACAGGGTAGACCTGTACTCCTGTACCGTCATCGTAGTAATACATCATACTGGTATTAAGTTCTGTTTGAAATGGTTGATCAGTCCTTTCACCAGGGTCTCGATAACCATACGAATAATCAAAATTCACTTAATGAGAATATAAAAAAAAAATGATCACAGATTAAAAAAAAAAAAAAGAAAAAGAAAAAATAGTTACTATAAAGAAAAATCCAAAGTGAAGTATCTCAAACGATTACCAATATAAAGCCATCTTTATTATCAGACAAATAAACTATTATATGAGATAGTGGGAAAAACTAACAGAAGGCTTGCACGCTTTTTTCAAAGTTCATCTAATTCAACAAAAAAAAAAACAAAAAAAACCCCCAAAAAACAAGAAAAACAAAAAACTGTCATACATCGAGGATTTCCTCTGCCTCGTCCTCTTCCCCGTCCGCGTCCTCTTCCTCGGCCTCTAAAGGAACCTCGGATATTACCACCCTCACTTCTCACACTGGAAACTTCATCTTGATCATCTCTCTTTTCTCTATCACGCCTCCAACCTTTTTAAAATAAAAATATTTTTAGACATTCCTATTTGCAGCTATGAATAACACTGTTATCTTTATTAAAAGATGGTAACGCTTCCCTACTTTGTAACTATTTGTTAGTAACCAGGAATTCTTCAGATAGATAGAAACTTAAGAGATCCCGCAGAAATCTGTCAAAATGTCTCCTGAGCCCATAAAAGTACTAACATAAAAAACAGTCTAACAAGTAAAAATAACACACTAAAAAGATTTTTAAAAAGTATTTTTAAGATACCAGAAGTTCCAAGATAATTGTATTTACACTATACATAAAACTCCTAAAAATTTGTTTTTATGAAATATTTAAGGAAAGGATGTTTCTATTTAAGAAAAAGACATTACCTTTAAAGAAAAAAAGGAAATGAAAACAAACTGGGAGAAGACATCTGCAACACAATATAGGAGTTAGATCCAGAATACATACAGAACTCATAAATTTCTTACGCACAAACACACAAAAGCAACTTGATGGCAAATGGCTAAGAAAGGTAAAGGCAAATTAAGAAATGCAAATAAAAAGTAAATATAGAAAATGGCGCTTAACCTCACTGGCCATGAGAAACACAAATTAATGAACCAGCATTTCATCTACTCCACTCTGACAAACATTTTAAGGTCCTGTAATATCAAATGTGGACCAAGACAGAAAAGGTAGATTATCAGTATACTGCTAGTGAGAGCAAAAATAGGCACATCCACTTTCAAAAAAATTTTTGGAATAATAAATTTGAAAGTACATATATCCTAAAGACAAGGGTTTTTCAACCTTGGCACTTCTGACATTTTGAGCCAGATAACTCTTTAGTATGGGGGGGATGTCCTGTATACTATAGAATGTCTAGTATCATCCATGGTCTCTACCTACTAGATACCAGTAGTACTCACTCATCCACCATCAACTTGCTGTGAAAACCTGTATTATCTCCAGCCAATGTCAAATGTCCCCTTGGGAGGGAAAAAAATCACTCTCATTGAGAATCACTGACTGAGGCCCTGCAATTCCTTCCTGTAATTCAGTCTTTTTCAAGGGTTTTCTGTCTGAACTCACAGGAACCCTTATTTTGTTACATGGTAGTATACAAGCAGCGGAAAAAAAAACAAACAACTATCAATAGTTGACTTTTTTCCTAAAAGGAGCCAGAAACAGCTCCTACTATCCAAATCTGTGACAATTCAAGCATCAAATTGAAATAATCACGGTAATGGATCATATCTGATTAAAAAAATAAGAGGCCATATGTCCACACAGATAATAATCAGAAGTTGTCCTTTATAGTGGAATGCCAACTAATAAATATAGAAGTGAAGGTGCAGTAAGAAAAAATCACTATTTGCAACCATCATGATAATGACTGAAGCAGGTAAGAATCATCAATGGAAACTGAAGCTCATGTGAAAAGTTTTATGAGAAACTAGAGAGTCCTACACCTCAGTCTCTCACAAATAAGGGAGTAATTACAAAGGAGAAAAGAGTATCATTATAGTAAAGAAACCTGGAGTACATCAACTTAACCAAGTGCTCAAAGTTAGTATCATCAGTAATAAGATAAACCAAGATCATGTGCATTTCTATGGGATGCTCTGAAAAAACTTTTTAGTATCCTTGACAAAGACTCATAATCCAATCCAATGAGGAAACATGAGAAAACCCCAAATGAGGAATATATACCACATTAACTGTCCTGTAGTTGTCAGAAAAAAAGCAATGTCATGAAAGATAAAAGCAAAAAAACTGCTCCAAACTAATGGAGAATAAAGTCAAAAGACAACTAAAAGCTAGGTGTGATCCCAAATTAGATCCTGGAAAAGAAGAGGAAAAAACTGTAAAGGACATGACTGGGAAAATCTGCCTGTGGATAGTCACACTGTATTACTGTTCTTGCACTATACACTCTGCAGGTACTTAGTATTAAAAGGGCACAATGTCTGTGATTTACTCTGAAATAGTTTAAACTACACATACTTATTAATAATAATAAGCATTAAGATAAAGTTCTTTTGTCACTTTTCTCTTAGAATGTAACTTACTTTGTGTATCATTTCTCCTATTGTTATGTGATGATTTATTTGCTTCAGGCAGACATTTTGAACTGTTCCGGGATCCTGGTCTTTCTTGACTCTCTGGTCTTACATCATCTAAGTGGAGTGGCACCCACTTGTGCTTGTTAGCTTGAAGAAAACAGAATAAAATCATTTAATGACAATGCACAATTTTCACTAAAGCTTTGCAATTTTGAAAGGACTCTAAACATTAGTTAGATGAGACACTGTCCTTAAAGGAATTATTTGTAGAGTACCAAAATAATTTTCTTCTTCTCACACAGCTCCTTAATAAACTTTTTTGAGCAAATAGTATTTCTGAAAATCAAGTGAAAAGCCAGTGATGGAGTATCATTGAAATTCTTTTGCTCTTAAGTGAAATGGTCACTCTTCCGTTTAATTTTGATGGATAAGCTACTCAAAAATAGTATGTGTACACACTACTCCTGTCTAACACTTGATTCTTAGTCTCTAGAATGGGGTATACATGATAAGACATTTTAACATTCATGTTTGAAAACTTGGCTAGCAATTCAAAACATTTTTGAATTGACTTATCTATCATTACTACTAATGAAAAGAGATTTCTCAAAATTAGGCTTAAGTGTAAAATTTGTCTAACTGCATTTGATAAATCTTTTCATAGCTACCACTCATTTTCATAACTTTTAAGAGATACAAGCAATTGATGTTTTCTTATTGACTAAAAGATAGTATAGATAGTATAATTAATTGTTATAGTGCAATTCTGAAGATTATGTATTCATGGATTCCAGTTAAGGTTTCAAAATGTTCAGTCTTCTGTCCAAATTATTTTTTTAACTAAAAGACTCACGAGCAAAGTAAGCACTACTAAAGTAATTAAGGAAAGGGAATATTAGTGTGCAACTATAGTACTGATTTCCTACAAACCCTACAAAATATAAACAGATGAGGAAGAGAGAATATGAAAGACTCAAAAAACTCACAGTCTACACTATAAATTCTATCAAAAGAAGATTGGCTCATACAAGCCTTTCGTTTGAAGATAAATATGTGTGGTCTGAGGAGATGCAATTTATGACATGATCATATTACTCTATAAACACCTGGATTTTAATGCTGGCCGATCAGTTTTAATTGAAGCAATTAACAAGGACAAATTTTAGAGTAGAATGGCAGGTGTGTCATCTGTATAAATTCTAGACAGCCAAAAAGACTACTTATGTGTCTAAGAGGCATGAAAAAGGTAAGTGATAAAGCGTTCTAAGAAATGGGGAAGTTTTTTTTAATAACCACATGGTCATCATGTTTCCACCACATTTGATCAATTAGCCTTGGCTCATTGTACCAAGTGAGCCAAAAGCTTATCCTGTAGCTAAGGATTAGATATTCATTAAAAAAAATAAAATAAAAAATAAGTGCTCAACACATGGTAGATTGTTATTTTCATTACTAAAGAAGCTGGCTGGCAAAGACTGTATCATGTAACGTCCTCTTCCCATGCCATATTGCCTCCATGAATTAAAATGCTTCAAAGCCTTCCCATGGCACTCAAGATAAAATGCTAATTCCAAGTTTGGAGCCTACATAACATGGACCTTGCCCATCTCTCCAAAAACATCTCCTGCTACTTTCCCCAATGTTCACCTCACCTCAGCTACTAACCTTCTGACTGTTTAAAGAATTCTTCTGCCTAGAGGCCCCTGAAAACACTTTTTTCCTAGGCTCAGAACACTGATATGTTTTTATAAAGCAGTTAAATCGTAACCTGACTCTAGACACATGAAAAAGAATATGGAAAAGAATGTAGACAATGTTTTTTCTTCAAAGTATAATTTAATAAGAAAATGCTATGAGGAAGAAGTTGACAAAAATTATTTTGACTATTCTTAAAAAAATATTTTCTCAGAACTTCCTAAAATAAAGGGAGCAGTTCCAACGTAGATTTAAAAAACAAGTTATCATATAACTTTCCAATCATAAAACTACATCTCATTTCTGTAAGTGAAACTTCATTCCTTCTTACATAAAAAAGTCAAATGCAAAAAGGAAAACCTAATAGTTCAGAAATGTTACAAAAACAAATAAGTTACCATTGCAGATAGTACCCTGAAGAAATTCAAAAATACTCATCGGTTACTACCTGCAATCAACTGTTTGAATACGATTCTTCATTACTACAACTTCCTTCCAAAGAATCAAATCAAGATGAAGTTAGAGATGAACTAACCTCTCTTTCGTTGAATATTTGACTGAGCCTCATCCTCACTGATATTTTCACCAGGACCATCTAATTTTGTTTCCCGGCTTTCTTTGCTCTCGCTGTTACATCTCTTTTCAACTTTGTCGTCTCTTTCTTTTTTATTTTGTGGCTTCTTATTTCCTTGGTTGATAATGCTCTGACACTGCAAAAAGTATTTCCGAATAAAATAACTGTTATTAACATATCCAAAAATCTGTGGTAGTATCTTACCTAAATATTGCAAAACAAATGACAACTTTAAAAAAATTAAATTAAAAAAAAAAAACCAACTACTTTCAAAAGACACTGTTAAGAAAAAGTCAGTCACAGACTAGGAGAAAATATTTCCTAAGCATTTTGATAGAAAACTTGTATTTAAAGTATATAGCTAATTCTCAAAAAGCAGTAACAACAAAATCAATTTTTACAAGATATGCTACAGTTGAACATTTCATTAAAAAAAAATATACTGATAGCAAAAGTATATGAAAAGGTGCTAGACATCTTTAGTCAGAGTAATGCAAATTAAAACTACAATGCAATACCACCACACACCTACTAGAATGACTAAAATTAAAAGTGACCACAGAGAGTATTAGTGAGTACGTAGAATAACTAGAATTCTCATGCACTGCAAGTGGCAATGAAAAGTTTGGTAGTTTCTTAAAAAGCTAAACAAATAGTGATCATAAAATCTAGCCATTCTGCTCCTGGGTATTTACTCAAAAGAAATGAAAGCATATATCCATACAAAATTTGGTATACAACTGTTTCTAACAGCCAAAAAGTAAGTAGAATCAACATAAATGTCCATCAGTAGGTGAACAGACAAACAGCATCACATCCATACAAGAATCCTTACTCAGCAGTAAAGAATGAACTACAAAAACACATGATACAAGTAAATCTCAAAATAACTAAGCTGAGTGAAAGCCAGAAAAACAGAGCAGACTATATGACTGCACTTACATAAAAATGTAGGAAAAACAAATTAACTGTGACAGAAAGTACATCAGTGGTCGTCCAGGATGATGAGAAAAATGTGACAGGGAGAATTACAAAAAAGTGTGAGAAAACTTTTGGAGTAATAGTTAAGTGTTATCTTGACTGTGGTGATGGTTTCATATGTTTACATAGGTCAAAACTTATCAAACTGTACACTTTATATATTTGCAGTTTATTATACATCATTTGTACACCAATTAAGTTGTTTAATATATATTATCTACAACTACACACCAATACTGCACAAAGTACAAATAGCAAAGTGTGCAGTGCCTAATAAAAACATGTGACCAGATAACCACATGCTACTCCTTTAAAAAGCCCCTTTTTAGAATATCTTAGAACCATCTTTTAAAGCTTCAATTAAAATTAAATTAAAAATCCATTCATTGAACACTTCTTAATGTGACACGTATGCATATACATATATATACACACACACACACACACATAATTAGCACTTCACATTGGAAAGATTATAAATCACAAAAACAGCAAAAATTCTGAAACATAAAATGGGCTTCACTTAGACACACTGAATTAAAAATTAATCTCTTTATTTGTAGACATTACATTCAACAGCATGGTATCCGCCCCTTACAAATGTAACTTTACCTAAAAATACAACCAGATGAAGACAGTGTGATGAATGAGATCGGGTTTCTGCAAAATGGATAAAACTATAAAAAAGGTGGCTGATGAATTTTTAGCACCTTTTGTTAATGTAATTCTCTAAATCTGAAGTAAAATAAATTCTGCATGTTGAAATGAGAATATTTTCCCTATAAATATAAAAAAGTCTTAAAACGATACTCACTCCAGTGTTCACTAATTCACTTGGTGTTGGCCAATTCGCCATATCGCTGAAATCACTAGCCTAAAAAGTAATAAATAAGTGTTATGTCCACGAATTAGAAATTTTAAATAGAAAAAATATTTTCTAAAAGTGAGAGCAATTTTAAGAATTGCCTACATTCAATTATATGCAGGCATTTGTAAAATTAGTTCAAAAGCTTCTCCAAATAACAGAACACTGAAATAATGCTTTGGTCTTATGATCCTACTTCTACCACTATTTAATGACACCGACTAAACTGATACAAACAGGGTAAGAGAGGCATATAGGGATTTGCATTAAAGCTACAATTCTCTAGCATATTAACTTTAAACTAACATCGATGATACAAACAGAAGAAAAATACACAATAATCTAAAAACAATGTTTTTCAAACTGAATATACAGTAGTGAAGAACTACTCCGTGTTAAGACAAACCTTGCTGGATTTCTTTGTCCTAAGTTTTCCTGCTTTTATAATTTGTGGGGAACCGGGCTCTAAAAAACAAACAAACATAGAATTGTTGTTACAGACACTTCACTCAACATATTTAACAAAATAACTATTAAAATGTCAACTTCAGTAAGTCATTGTAGTCATTGTTCCCAACAAAACCCAAAGTTCTGAGACTCGAATTCCTAACAAGAAATAGACTGTATTTCAAAAGTAGATTAAAATAGGTCTTCAGTGTTAAAATCAAGAAGTGGGAACTATTAACAGTTTACTTACATCGACATATCAGTACTTTCACTAACAAAATACAACATGAAAAATTAGAAATACGATGTTTCAATACAATAAAGTTAGTAATGCAATTCCCAATGTAACACATTTTTCTATTCAATATACATTCATCATGGGGCATATAGAAAATAAATCAGAAAACTTCAAACTATTTGTCTTTGAAAACAAACAAGTTTGGCAACTCTAAGTTGTATCTAGATTTAAACCATAAAAAAACAGGTCTCTGTAAAATTTCGTATAAGACTATCATAGAATCACCACTTGTCCCTATCTTGAATAAGTGTTTGACAATAAAATAACTATGTTACACGTGAGTATAGACAACTGATGCTCTATAGTGTTATGCTGAATGCAATTTTGACTAAATGATATGGTATCAGAAAATAAACCCATCGTAAATCAAAGCGTATGTGTACTTATTTATCAAAGGGGGCTGAAGGATAAAGATGTCACTCGGGGTGGGCATACAGGGATCTTGAATACTGTAGTAATTCCCAAAGCAGAACAGTGTAGTAATTCTATTTCTAAAGCAGAGTACACAGGTATTTGTTTTATTCTTCCTTATACTTTAGGACACATATATGTAGGTGTATACATATGTATAAATGTACATAAAAATAAAATATTTCATTAAGAAAAATTAGATATAGTAGTAAAAATATATGGACAAATAGGACAAAAATGGGGGCAGGAAAAGACCCCTAATTTAAAGAACCAATATTTGCCTAAACATTATCTAGAATTTGACTGAAGTATGTTCTATAAATACTATGTATATTTTATGGAAGTTATACAGTATAACTCATTTGGGGGACTTTTCTCTCAACAAAACGCACAACATGTCCCAAAATATTGCTAAGCCAAGTAAATTAAGTACCTGGTAGTTACAAAATACATCCTTATACAAATTACATGACATAATGAAAAGTAATAAGGGATAGGCCACACAAGTTTTATACAACTTTATTGCAAATTAATTAGACATAAATAATCACAAAATTAAGGTCAGAAATGAAAGGTAAAATTTATTCTGACCCTACAAAAGTAAACTTTTTAAAAAAACTTCAACACTAAATGACATAATTAAGTTATTAAGAAACTGGAGAAAAAAATACCTGAATGTGGTAGAGTTAATAATCTTTCTATTGATTTAAAAATACGGCCCATACTCTATCTAGACATTGATTATTTCCTGTAGCTAAATGTAAAAAGTTGTAGGGGAAGAATTTCGAACTTTATTTCTTCACGTTTAAAAATAAAAGGAAACAAGATTTTGATTTCAGTCAAATCTTTTAGACTCAATTTTTTTAGATTTTTGTTTAAATTTTAATCTCTCAAATTTAATTCTTCAGCAAATATAATAAGAAAAATTTACATTAAATTCTGTGCTATCTATAATGCTGACTTTTTTTAATGGAGTATCTCTATATAGACTTTGTAATTGGGATGTGTTTTTATATTTTATCCTTACTATAATTTAATCTCACTGCAGATTTGACAAACTATGTTGGCCAATGAGGTTGGATACTCTGGGATAGGGAATAGTGATTTCTTAACATTGGTTACTAAATGGCCCTTTGAGTTAATTTACTTTTCCAAGAGGAAGACTTTCTTGAAATATTTCTGTTCCAAAGTCCAGTTTCTCCCATGAAAACATTAAATTTCCTGATTAATGAGTTGAGGAAAAGAATCGAACTTGGAAAGCCAGCACTTTTTCTCCTTTTTCTTTGGGAGCTAGCTATCCTCAAAAAACAAGCATTCTGGTCTGCTCCTTCATGCTGACAACTGCACAAGGGCAGGCATCCCAACAGAGGTGGAAGGGAGATCTGTAGTTATGCAATAAGAACTGCGCAAACACGTTTGTCTAATTCTAAGTTCAACATGACGAAGTCCTTTGCACTGCTCACCTAGACTACCTTATCAACCGTTTTTTTTTTCAGTTAAAAATAAGCTTAAACAAAACAAAACAAAAACATGAGTAAAAAAAAAAACAGGTGATTCAAAAAAGAAATACAAATGGTCAAACATGAAATGGTACTCAATCGTACTAATAAAGAAATGTAAAACAAAACAAACTATTTTCACCTATCACGCTGACAAAAAAGAGAATGCCAAATGTTGGCCAGTCTATAAAGAAAAGAACATTTCTCTCATGCTGCTGGCAAGAGTGTGGAGTAGTATAATCTTTCAAGGATAACCTATCATTTAAAATGTATATACTTTTTAATAAGGCAATTTAATTTCTGGGAAATTACCTGGGAATCAAGACAAGGCACAAAGATGTCTGTATGAGATATTCACTGCAGGTTTTCTGATAACTGTATTTAAATAACTTCTACATTCATTAATATGGGAAAGTTATATTACAGTACATCTACACAGAATAATGTAAAACTTTTAGAAGACAAACCTGTATGTATTGACATGAAAAAAGTCCACCAGGTTTTAAACATAATTTTATACACACATATAAAAGCCAAGTAAAACAGGCCTGAGAATTCTTTTCGTTTTTCCATGATTTGACTAAAATGGAGGAAACTGCCCTGCATGTCATTAGAGAAACTTAAGATTGAAAAAGCAAGCCAACCTATAAAATTAAATTTAAAATTTTAATTATACATCTTTTCAGACGAAACCTAAGAAAAAAATTTAAACTACTCCAAGTATATATAAACATACATGAAGAAGTATTTGATCTCCACCTCTCCTTTTTCCAAGCATCACTGGTGAGACATTATACCAGTAAAATTTTTTTGAATATTTCATTATCTTTAAAATATTGTTCATTAACCCTAAGAATCTATAAGGAAACAATTCTAAATAGATAAAGGAAACAACTCATTTTAAGAACTTGGATAATGAAAACAAAAACTGCAACATAAGGACAATTTTAACTACTTCAATTTTCATAACTATAATAATCTAACAAATACTCCATGATGATAATTATGTTGTACACTCAAAACCAATGTTCTACATCAATTATACCTCCATAAAAAATAATTTTTAAAAACGTGACAATGTTAATGGGAAAAAAGGGATCAACCAACACTCTGAAAAATGGTATGCTCTAAACACATATACAAAACACTATATTTGGAAATAATAGCATAGATCTAAAAGGATATTCAGTAAATTGGTAACGTGATTATCATCTTTTGAAGGGGACATCAAAAGTTCTGTTTTTAACAAGGAAAATGTATGCATCACCTATATAACTTAAAATGTTACTAGGGTAATAACAGCTGGGGAACAGGCACTGAGAGAAAGAGGGTCGAAAGGGTCAGAGAAGATTAAGAATGAAAAAGGATAGAAAAATCAAAAATTTTATATACCATGTTTCTGTGGGTAATATGAAAATTATATTAGAAAGCTGATTTATAATATGCAAAATCTAACCATGGCTACAGGTGATTAATTAATAAATCCCATATTGTGATTTTAATGCAGGTATTCCAAAATAAATGCAACTACTTCGTTTACTTATTTTTTTACACCTACAGCATCTAGTAGTCCTATGTGGTCTCTCATCCAAGTACTAACCAGGCCTGAACCTGCTTAGCTTCCGAGATTAGACGGGATCGGGCACATTCAGGGTGACATGGCAGTAGTAAATGCAACTCTTTTAAACAGGGTTAGGGCAGACTGAAGAACAATTCTTTCTGAACTGACTGAATTAAAGACTGCAGTGACACCATTTTAGGCCTCTTTGGTGGGCCAGGTATTGGTTGAAAAGGCTTTGGACTTATCTGAATTACCAAAAACAGCAATATACAAGCCAGAACTATCCTAAAAGTGGAAGAAAGTGTCTCACAAGGTCTAAAGAACCAAGAATGCATCACCTGCAGCTGCTAACAGAGAAAATTCATTACAAATCTTGAAACACTCCCCTAGATTTCCTATAATGTTTCTATCTCTAGTAATAAACTTTGTGGCAAAATTCTGTGGATGGAGTCCTTGTAACTCATTAAAGAGTGACAGTAAATCTAGGTTTGGCCAGAATACACATGGTTTAAATCTGTTATCCCAGCATAATTAATATCCTTTTTCCCTCAAGAATTTGCTAATCTGTAAGATAAATTATACAGGCCTCCTACTAATTATTGTACTAACTTAACACTCCCTAGTGTTAAGTTAGTTCACCTACTCTGGACTCTAAAAGACCTATGCTCCTATTTCATTGTTCTTGAAGTTGCAAATTTGCTTAGGAAAACAGGAAGCCAAGACACCCAGTTACAGATGGCACTCTGGTATTAAGAACTGGAAGAGATAAATACATTCACTTCATTCATTCACAAGGCCAGAAATCTTGCCAAAAGTCAACTAGCTAGTAGTTATTAACAATGCCTGCCCTAGAAGCCAGTCTCTCAGAACACTGTGTATTTCCACACCACAGCCTCTTATTTATATCACCAAAGTTATTCAATTTCAAGTAGAGGTTGTGGCAGAACAGCATAGCGTCGGTATAGGAGAGACTTCAAGTTACTATACAACTCCAAATTTGAAAACAGTATTCCTGTGGGGACAGAATGGATTCCAAGAGGAGAACGAGTTGCCTACAGAGATACCTAACAGCAAAACTGAAATTCCCATGAATCACACCATACAGCAAGCAGTGGTTTAATCTTAATCTCTAACAAAGATTAAGATCCGCAGTGAAGATACCTGCAGTTACCTTAAACTGTTATATATTTTTCACAAGGTCATTTCCAATTAAAAGGTTTTACTTTAATAGCTTAAAAACCTGTCAAGCTGATTTTACAATCAACTAAGAACGAGTTCAGGTTTCTTTGTAGTTCACTGAGTATAATTTATATATAACTGTGTAAGTTTAGAAATAGGGAGGTGAGGCAGCCATTAAGACTCACTAGGACCTTCTTTCTCGTCCCTAAATTTTATGGAGATTTCACTTTAAGACTTTTGTTCACTTCAGTTAGTTAATAGTAGTAAACAGATCTTTGCAGCAAAAGAGAATGCTTTGTAATATTAAATTTAGAACAAAATTTTAAGTTTTTTTTTCTGCAAGCGTCAAAATCCATTTAGAATGGATTTTGCACAGCAGAGTGAAAGAAGTATTAATTGACTTTAGTTTTTGCACACTTCTCTCACTCTACTGGAATTCCTCTGAAGAAATGTTATATACCTGCAATAACATAAAGCAGGTCTACAATAACCACTATATTTATACCATATCCTTTATCTCAACTGATCTTCACAACCCCATAAAAATGCTTAGATTTTCCCTGCCTCGCTGTTAACTTTTAAGAAAAAGTCAAGAATAGCAAGTAAACAGCTGTAATTGCTATACTAAAAGTTCAATTAATTTACAACAACTTAATTTAGAAAGCCAAAGTAGGAGATGTTGCTTTTCGTCTTGGTTGTATTTGCTATTTCCACTTAAACACAAGAAGGAAAAAAAAGTAGTTGTTACAACCAAAATAAAGCATCAAAGGCCACACGTTACTGGCCAGCATTCGGAAGCAGTGACATAATCTCATCTCTAAAGAAAGGAGGGCTAACTGAACGTGAGAGGACGACCATTTATTTAATACAGTGCAATCCCCTGTCACGTCAACTACCCTACTTCGATTGCTTTCCACCACAATCACAACGCAAAAGCATTTTAGTATCAACTACAGCATACGGCCTCAACTTTAATCTGATTACTTCGTGACTGGAAAACACTGAAACTTTCAATTTATCAATGACTTCACAATTAAAAAAAAAAAATCACAACTGCGCTTCCGTGTACAAAGACACCCCCTTTTTGGAAAGTCCACGAAAGCTGTGCCACGGGGTGCATCGCGCCGGCGAGCTCAAGTGAAGCTTTCCCAAGGCAGTGAACACGTGGGGGGCCAAACACAGCACGCCGGCGCCCGCGGGGCCACGGGCCACACTCCCCCAGCGGTCAAGGAGACGCCGAGGTCCCACCTCTTCCTGCCGCGCCCGTCCCAGATGCCCATGTATGTCAACGGGCAGAGTGAATGACACCTTGGAACAAAACACCTCCGACTGACAGGGAATGAGGCCTGCCCCTCCCCCGTGCCCACGCGCCGGGGGGTGCCCAGCACCCCGGAGCCACAGACCTGGTTCCAGTGGGGGCGGCGGCGGCCCCGACCCGGCGGGGGACAGGTGCTGAAGAGGCTTTTTGGTCCAGGGGTTCTCCTTAGGAGGCAGCGGCGGCTGCTGCGGCTTTTCCTCAGGGCCGGCCGCCGCCTCCTG